ATGGCAAATGTCCACTCATCTGGCCACTGACCGCAGTATTACAGTCCATTAAATGGGTCTGTGGCTGTCCAGGTCTCAGCACCACCTTCTTGCCCTCTTGTCCTTGTTTTTGGGTGTGCTAGGGATACACAGTGGCATCCCTATTGCACATGGGACACACCTAATGCCCAAGGAGTCCCTCACCTGGGGTACATTGGGATAATATGGGAAACCCCAGAGTCATATGAAATCCTTAGAGCATGCAAGGCTTAGTTTTCTTTGGAACAGGGCAGAGAGGGTGAGGAAGGAGCTGCTGAGCTGCTACAGTTGCCTCTAGTGATGAAAGGCATTTGACAGAGCATAAGGTCTATGGTCTAATTCCTCCTCTTCCTGAAGATACCGTGTTTCCTGATGCCTCCTGTCTTCTGGCCAGCCAGTGAAGGACTGAGAAGATAAAAGCAAAATTAATTTTGGGAAAGACTAAAAGCATCTGGGCAAGTCCCACGGCCACTTTAAGATTCTTCTTTAAACACAACTTAACTTTAGATCTGTTGAATCCAACTTACACTTTTAATATCTAAAAGAATTTTTCTAGCATTTGTATTTTTTGGGAAAAGAACTGAATACGTATACACTGCAGTTCTCAAAGCCAGAAATCATAAGACAAGTAAAAGCAACAATATGAATCAAAATCTAAAAACCTTATTTTTAGCATAAAATAACAATGGTATTTTTAGGCTCAGTTGCTTCTTAAAGCTTAGGGGTTTACCCACACTGAGTAAAGCAGGTTGATAGCTGGTGTAGTTCAGCCTGGAGAAGGGAAGGCTTTGGGAGGACCTTAAAGCAGCTCCAGTGCCTAAAGGGGGCCTACAAGAAAGATGGAGAGGGGCTTTTTAGAAGGGTACATAGTGATAGGACAAGATGGAATGGGTTCAATCTGACAGAGGGGGGATTTAGCTTAGATATTAGGAAAAAAATTCTTCCCTGTGAGGGTCCTTAGGAGCTGGCACAGGTTGCCCAGAGAAACTGTGGCTGCCCCATCCCTGACAGTGTTCAAGGCCAAGTTGGACAGGGGTGGAGCAACCTGCTCTAGTGGAAGGTGTCCCTGCCCATGGCAGGGGCTTGGAACTAGATGAGCTTTAAGGTCCTTTCCAACCCAAACCATTCCATGATTTTATGATTATGAATGACTATCATTGCTATGGAAGGACTTGTAGTGGAAAATTATCCAAATAATCAAAATGTAATCCAAACTGCCTGCAAAGAAAAAGGGGGTCTGATTCAGAAGAGCACTTGCACTTGCTTCCCACCTCCACAGCCCTCATACAGCCCCTCATCTCCCCCCTGCAGTCAGCAGGAAGAAGGCAATGCTGAGTATGCCTGGGTTTCAGTCAAGGGTGGGCAATAATAAATCCCACCGCCTCTAAATCACCTTAATCAATATGTTTTGGGTGTTACACTGAAGATTAGAAGAAACAAAGGTGGAAACAATGTCAGGCTTCATGCTCATTTTAAGGGGTGACAGGAAACAGCAGAGGCTGGAGAGGTTGTACCTACCTGAATATCCCTTACAACTCTCTCCACTATTTACAGGCACCAGGCGGTGCCCACAGCATCTCTTGTCCATTGCTTTTCACTATTGGTAATGGACATAGCTGAAAAGCAAAGACCTTGGGGTGGTACTAAGGTCATGCAATTCATTCTTGTGTTAATGAACCATAAAACCCTCTTTGAGAGTCCATAAAATCTATTTTCATACAAACTGAGACTTACAGAAGCAGCTCCTGAGCAGCAGGATGGCATTTAATAGTCTCTTCCCTGTGGATTATCCAGCATCTAACATGAACTGAATTCACCTCTTGAAGTAACTCAGTATCTTGAAACTCTGCCTGTTTCTCCAATTTGGCTGAAATCAGCCAATGCCTTCCACAGTGTTGGGTGTGGGGGATAGATGTGGCAAGACAGCATGATCACATATGTCTTGCATTCCTCGGATGACAGCCAAGGGGGAGAGGCAGCTCTGAGAGCTGGTAGGGGTGTATAACCTGATTAGATAAGTGACTTCCCGCTGCTGAGAGAGGGAGAGTCAGTGCTGCTTTCAGCACTCCTGCTCCATTACAAATAAGTGATGTCATGACTTAAAGAAAAAAATCACCTACTATCCTACTCTGCTTCCCCCCAAAGACTGTCGAAATGGCTTGCTAAGAAAGAATTCAGATGTAGTAGAGATGGAGATGAAAGAGGAAGAGAAAAAGCAACAAAGCAAACTCTACCTTCAGTTTAAACCAACCACAGAGCATCCTGGAAGAATGGCAAAAAAATTAGCATGGTCAGAAAAACAGGCAGTTGCTTTTTCCCAATGCGGTTTTTCAAGAGTATTTAACATTTGGATATTTCCTTTCACTGCTTTCTGACATTCAAACTTTTTTTGTTATTTAGCTTTTCAGATCAAAAGTGGTTTTTTCCTATAAAATATAAAAACTTTCCAAAGACAAACTGTATTTCTGTCAGAGTCAATAATGTGTGGTTATCTGAAGCAGGATCAAATGGAAAACTGAAAAACTAAATGAACTTACTGAGCAGACTAAGTGGCTGAAGAGGTGCCCAAAAGTAAAATCTTGATCTGATGCAGATTTTATTCTGAACAGGAATAGAACTGAACAGGGCTTGAGCATGATGGCACAGTCTGTGTGCCATTCACGGGTCAGTTACAGTAGTGAAGACTGGTGAGCTAGGCACTTAAAAGAGAAAGGTGTGGGCCAGTCTGGTAAACAGAGCTATTCCCTGCTTTTTTTTTTCCCCATAATGGATGAACATTCGTTTTTCAGGTTGATAGGGTATGTGTTCAGCCTCAGGGGATCTGTTCCACAACACTTTAGGCTCCTGGATTGTGCTTGAGGAAGAAGAGAGGAAAGCTCCAGATAATTAGGGTGGGAGCAATGAAAGAAAATTGAATTTCAAGAAATACTGAGCAAGGATAGATGGGCAAGAAAAGCCAAGGGGACAAAAAGCAGGAGTTTGAAGAAAGAAGAGCCCCTCTCTTGGCCTTAATGATATGGGGAAGGGCCTGAGGTCAGATTCAGGGACTGCCTGTGACAACGCAGCTTCTGTGTTTCCCTTGACAGACAGTGATCCAGCTGGGGAAAGTGATCTTTCCTTCTGCTTTTGAGGTCTGGGGGAGTCAAGAGCAGTCCAATGCCCACTACTTGGAGGCTCAGCTGCCTGGTCTAAGGGGCTGGGAGGGGCTTAGTAGAAGCAGCCAGGACCTTTGTTCATTGTTCCTCAGCTCTCCTACCCACAGCGTACTTCATTCCCTCGGGCAGAGCTGCAGTCACTATGCTCAGTATTTAAAGAAGGCTGCAAGGGCTCTGGCAGTGGTCCTCACCAGCAGAATTACACCAGCTTTGCGGTCTTTACTTGGAGCGGTTTGGTGCCCCATCTCAATCATGGACATTCAGCCTATGTGAAGGATTTCAAGTGACAGACTGGGAAAGTCTCCCTGAAAGAGTGCTTGGGAAAATGTGATAAGCTGCCCAGTGACAATGACGAGGGTCATTACTGGGTTTAACCCATCAGGGATGAAGATTCCACTTCTGCCCCTCTCCACTCACCAACCATTCGAAGATAGTTTCTTTATAAGGACTTCAAGTGCAATAACATTCAAGGAGAAAGCTTATAAGGGGAAAAGCAGAGGCTGGAGGTTTAGGAAGGAATTAACAGGTCATTTTGAAGAGTAACAGGTCCAGCTTTGAAGCTGAGCCTTCTTTGAGCAGTGTAGTGGCTTGGATCAGAGGTTTGAAGGACAAATCTGACTTATTATTTGATTCCTTGCTTCTGTGTGAAAAGTGTGGTTTTGTTGTTTTGTTTTTTTAATCCATTGTTATCTTTTAGGACATTTAGTGATGCAGCCAGCAAAATAAAGACTTTGATAAGGAAGTGCAAGTGAGAATCGTTCTTCCTAATACCACCCAGTACTAGCTGATCAGAACATGTGTGATCATGTATAGTCCCAAGCAACTGGACAGCACCCCTTTGAAAGAAGAAGGAGCACTTTATCAAGGGCAATGGGTCCTAAGAATGTCTTCAAAACCACTGCATTAATAGTTCCATACACACACATGCACATGTGTGCACACACACACAATGCAGAATCAAAAGCTTTTTGAAGACAGAAAGTATCAGGTCATTCAGACAACATTCACTGGGTTTCTTTATCCATCCAAGTAATTTTATAGCCCTAATGAGTATAAAGCAAGCATATGATTCCTTCAGGATCACCAGCTCATCTCTACATCGCTCCTTACGCCTGCTTTCAAGTTAGATGCCTGCAAATGGTTACTAATAATCATATCTACTTTGACAACAGCATCCAAAGTTCCAGTCAATACTGGGACTTTGTTTTGACAGACACTGGACCAACACAGACAGAAGGGCACAAACCGCAGAATCAAGAGTTTTCAACTGAAACAGATGGCTGGTGAAGGCTAAAAGGGAAACAGATAATTTGCCCAGTGCCCTGTAGAGCACATCAGAAAACAGCCCACGAACCTCCTTACTGGTTGTGGACTTCAAGCAGATAAAAAGATTTTGCCAAATGCAGTTGTTTTACATACTTAAATCAAAGGTTTTAGGCTTAAATCAGAGTAAGTCAGAAGACTTGTATAGATCTCATGTGGAACATGACATCACCATGTACTGTTGCATGCTGACTTTACACTTTTTCAGGCATATATACAGAGCTGTGAGGTAGTCTTCCAATGGAAGAAATTATGATCCCATCGCCAGAACAGAAAATTGCATTTTAAGGAGAAATAGCAACTGATTTTGCAAAGGTAGGGAGGATGAAGGGATGGCCTAATAAGATATTTTTGTTTATTGCTTCCACAATTCTATAAAATGGACATACCTTAAAACTTATTAGTTCCTTTCTTCAAGACAAGAAATATCCACAGATTATCTGTGATCAAAACCTCAGCCCTGTCCACACACACTTATTAGAGCCAAATTCTTTTATCACTGACCTGTTCCACTCGGATATCAAATTCTCCATTCACCTTCTTCCCCTGGAAATATTTGGCCCTGCAGAAGAAATGAGACACAAACATGGTTAAAGAAGATTTTTGGCTTTCATTATATACTGTTTTGCTGCTGCATTTCTCTTCTTGCTGAAGAATTTCTATCCGGGTCACAGCATGTTTTCCTAATTCCTATCTGCTTTCAGCTTTCTGTTCTCCAAGAGAAACCTGCCAAGCCAGATGAAAACCACATTGGAAAGTTCCTTCAAGGCTTGTGACTTTTTCATTTTATTTTCAAACTGAAAACCAAATGCTCTCCTAATCTTTTCCAGAACAAAGTTTCCAATAGATTATTCCTTGCTATATCTCATTTAATACTCAATCTTCATTCTATAGAAGAAAGAGAGCAACATAAGACACAACATTAGAAACTACTTCTGACGTTGGGCAAGGATCTTTAAAATCATAGTTGAACTACTTGTGAAGCCTATTCTCTTGCTTTGTCTCTACAGGGCTGCTTTTTGATTCTGTTTGTTTTTCCACTACTGATTTAGAAAAACAGTATCTGCATCTACAGTGTTGCTAATGAAGGATCTCTTCTCCTGAACTGAGAAACTGTGTTTGTTTTGGAGGTGAATAGTGCCATGAGAAGGACATATACCTTCCACCACCTCTGCTCCTATCTGCCTACGCTATGCAGACAGCAAAGTACTTTCAGACGGATTGGTCATTTATGACAGGGAAAAGCTGACAGTAGTGCTGGAGAAGAAAACATAGGAAAAGGGCAAGCAGTTTTAGCTTTTTTATTCCTATTTATGTATAATCCTCCTTATATTGAATAGTCAATAGGGAACTTGTCAATATAATTTCCAATGTAACTATATCTCCCCAGTTCTTCCCCTCACCAAACAAGCTCAAAAGAAGAAAATATGAATTTATTTTCTCAGATCTCCCCCCTAAAACTTCAGGAAGACCATGTAAGTTCCAAAAAGCTGTTCTATTTGGAAACCATTGAAAACACAGTTCAGCCGTGCAAGAGCTGTTTCCAGAGACAAAGTAACTCTCTGCATTCTGTTTCCAATTGGCAAAGAGAGGACAGAATAAAGAAGTAAAGGAAAATGAGGGGAAGCCGACTTTGCTCCCTATTTTATAGTATTAGCAAAAAAAAAAAAAAAAGAAGAAGCTGGCTCACATTTTTACTATGTGTCTATTTGTTCCAATAAAAAAAAAGAGGAGAGACGGTAGGAAGGCAATTTTCCCCATGGCTGAAACACACCAGTTTTCAGCTGTGTGCTCCCCTCCCTCAGAAACGTGAAATGTAAATAAAAAACTGTGTTGTCATTCTGGCTCAAAACCAAGTCAAAACTTTTAATTTTATTAGAAAAACAAAACAAAACAAATCAAACCTACGTAAAATGATTCCAAAAGTTTTCTGCTTCATCCTTATGAGAGTATTTGAAGGCTGTATCAGGCTTCCCTTCCCTGACAGCCCATCCATCAGCATGGTGGTGATAAGACCTTTGCACAGAGATCAGTGAGGGACAGTGTAGCAGCCAGGTGTGACCAAGACCAAATGACTCAAACAACCCTGTACAGTACAAAAACCAGAACTGTGGCAATTTTTTCTCTTTTTCTTGAATTATGAGTGTTGCCTGAAAAAAAAAAGATCTCAGCAGACAAGCGGAGACATCATGCCTCTAACAATAAACAGGAACACTAATTGCGCTTAATAATTCCAATGTATTTCTGGAGGCATGGCTCTAGAGGGTCTGGCAACATTCCTTGCTCCTAAACACTGGGGATATTGCTGGAACCAGTGACTTCTGAGAAACTGGAATAAGCTCTAAGTGGGCCCACAGGAACTGCTCTGAAATTTGAGGCGTGCTATTCACTGGTACAAGCTTGTTTTTATTCCCAGCACACTCATAATATATACTCCTTACCCACATTTATGAAACACACTTCCTCCCTCTATGGCCTTCCCTCTTTGCTGACCAGCTGGTTGCAAACTCCTTGGTGCTGCCTTGCTTCAGCTTGTAATGAAGTGTGATTAACCAAAGTCTTAAGCCCAGTACAGATGGAGCAAAGAGGCTTCCACTGCCTAGTGCAGGAAATGAGCCTTCACATGGTTAAAAAATCCTCTCTCCCATCTCTACAGTACTGGCTCTGCTCATGGGTAATTGCACAGGGAGCACATCCAGAGTAAGGAGTCATTGGAATAGAGCAAGGGATCTCAACTTAGACACTGCGTGTCCTCTTCTTCTTATGCTCTTTCCACACAGGTTGTCTCATCCCATGTCTCTGATAACTTCCTATTAACAGCACAATATATCATTTTCTTTCAAGGAAAGCCCCCCAGGAGGGTTAACCTCCTCTGAGTGCCTCTGAAGACTACAGGTGCTAAGAAATTTGCAGCCAAATATTTTGGTCAGCCCATCATTTTGACACAGCCCAGGGTAAGAATGAAACACTTCTTTCTGAAGCATCTCGGGAGTCATGTTTTCAATTCACACCTGGGGTTGTGGAGCCCCTGGGCAGTAGAGGCTATCACGTTGAAATGAAAAATGGCTTTAGCCTCACCCTGGAGCCCTGAAATTTCAAGCAAGCTGGAATCATTGCTGATGCTGTGGAAACATCTCTGTTGCAAAAGGGAGAGTATTTTGGTCAGTAATGTACAATGTACGAAATGGCATTTGGTTCCTACAGTGGACGTGAGATGGAGGAGAGGAAGACGATGCTGCCCTGGTGGGGATGCAGGAGAAAGACAGATGGGTGTTTCTGGTAGGTGAAACTGTGCAAGACATTTGTGGATGCTCTCTGCCGCAAAACCACCTGTGCAAGGCTCTTCCAGACCTCTGCCTATAGGAAGTAACATGCTCCAGGGCTATTTAGGCATCTTGTAGTGCAGCAGGGGAGTGGTACCCAGAAGACCAGTCAAAGCCTTTCTGGAGAGCCTTGGAAGTGTCCCCATTCACCTCCAGCACAGCCAATTGCCAGTGATCAAAGGAGCAGCTCATTGCCCTGGAATGGGGGCTGTTTGGCATCTCCCAGCTCAGGAAACTGGGCAAGTCAGTGGCTGTACAAACCTACCCCCTCTCCTGGGCAGCCTGCAGCACTGACCACTGCTTGGCTGGCCATCCCTTTATTATAAAGCATGTCAGATGTTCAACCCACCAGAACCATTCGTTATAATCTGGCAGGCAGGGTGCAGATGGGGTGGTGTGGCTGCTGTGATCTCAGTAAATTAGCATGTGAACATGTTTTGACTGAAGAAAACTGCAGGGCCATGTTCAAGAACAGTTCCTGGATAGGATTTACATTGCTAGGCAATGCATTTAAATGTGGCTGCATTGGCTGGGAGGGAGGAAGCACCATAATAAACAGCCAAAAGCTGTTTCTCTTCGAGGGAGAAAGCTTGCCTTGAATCCTTCTATCTTTGTGATGGAAGAAGCCGCATGCTCTGGAAAAGGACATATTTTCTGGGTGCAAGAGCACCAAAAAAAATTCTGCTTTCTGCCTCAGCCCTGACATGATTACAGGGCCACAAGAAACCCAATGACTCTTTTTATGAAGTAATTTGGAAAGAATAAAAGCTTATTTTCCAGAGCTGCCATGAAACAGTTCCAGTCTGCCTCAGCAACTGTGGCTGGAGGAAGCGTATACACAATTCTCTGTCAGATACAGAGTGCACCCTTAATAGCAGCAGGGAAAAATAAATGATCAATTTACCTCCAGTTACTTACACAAGAGATAAGTCACATAAAGCCCATGTATAACATTAGTGCCTCTAGGTGTTTGCAAAGCGTCTGCCTGAGCAAGGGATGCCGTCACTGACTCAACACTGCTAACACATTTGTAAGACACTTGAATACCAGATTTTATCCCTCTGGTGTCACTGACAGCTGGGACAACTTGTACCATGCCCATATGAGGGGTGCCCAAACAGGGATGCTCCCCTGCTCCTTCGTACTAATGCCCTTAGTCTGTTAACACAGGGATTCAGTCCTCATGCAGTGTGAATTTTCCTGTCAAAGCCTCATGAGTCACAAGGTCCAGGGGACGTAGAGCTGGGCCAGTGGGCTACAGGTACAGGAACTGGGGCCAGTTGGCATTGCTGTGCTGCTCCTGTGTCATGGAAGAGCAAGAAGGGGGACTACAAGGATGACAGAGAGGGGCTCTTCATCAGGGACTGTAGTGATAGGACAAGGGGTAACGGGTTCAAACTTAAACAGGGGGAATTCAGGTCAGATCTAAGGGAGAAGTTCTTTACAGTGAGGGTGGTGAGGCACTGGAATGGGTTGCCCAAAGAAGTGGTAAATGCCCCATCCCTGGCAGTGTTCAAGGCCAGATTGGACGGAGTCTTAGGCAACATGGTCTAGTGTGAGGTGTTCCTGCCCATGGCAGTGGGATTGGAACTAGATGATCTTAAGGTCCCTTCCAACCCAAACTATTCTGTGATTCTATGAAAACTCACAAGCTACTTCTGTTAGGTGAGCACAGATCATCTTGCAGTTTCTCTGTGTGATAAATAACCGGTTACATCTGCCTTGTGCTCTTTCTGCTTTAAAACAAAAGTTGGTGCAGTGGGTGCTCAACCCATCAGCCAATAAACATGTTCAGTGCAGGAATCCAGAAGAAGCTATTTCTACAGAGCTTGTACTATCTCTCCTAGAGTTATTTCTTCTCTCTTCCCTCTGCTTTTTTCCTCTTGGTGCAAAGCAGCATACCCAAGCTGCTTAAGAGGCCTGCTTCAATGTTTTCCTCTGTATCTGTGGGAAACAGAGGCATCAGGTATGTAACAGGGGACTGCACAACTTCTGCTGGGCTGGAACATGCTCTGCACAGGTAAGGAATAGGAAAAAATGCAAAGAGGTACAATTACAATAGGTATTACAGCTTGTTACCTGATTACAGCAGGCATCAAGCATCAGTTAGACAAGTGCCAAGGGAGCTCTTCCCCAGGTACAGTGCCATTAGACAGCAGCCCATGTAAGAAAAGGTGCAGAATACTGACCTCAGCATTGGGACAGGAGTAGTCAGGAAGGACAAGAGATTTGAGGTGAT